AAAAAAAAAAAGGCATATAAAAAGTTTCAACTTGATCTTTTATAATTTATATTCATGGGGAAAAAACAGATCTCTTTCGTTGGTATATTAAAAAAATGACATTAAAAATGTGACTGTATGTACTATCTGTCGTCTATATATTATCTTCATATTAATCATTTTCCCCCCTCAAATGCAATAAATGCATACAGACTAGAAGAACACATAAAAAATTTAAATATGCTTGTCTTACACAGTAATCCAACTACAACCTGGACTTTTCTTAATTCCTTTCAGGTTCTTTGTGATTCTGACTTGGTTCCTCTCAGCCTCTTTACCAGAAACAGAATACAAGTTTGACATCACTACATAAGGATTTGCATTAGAAGGTTCCATTTCAATAATACATTGTGCTGCAAGCTTCGCAATGTCAAGACGTGAATATGTCTTGCTTGCCCCAAGAACGGCCCCCCAAACACCAGAATGAGGTTTCACTGGCATTGACCTTATCAAATCAACTGCTTCATCTAGCAACCCTGCACGGCCAAGGAGATCGACCATGCATGCATAGTGATCAGGTCCTGGTTCAATTCCATATTCAGATTTCATCGAGTTGAAGCAATTCCATCCTTCTTGTACCAGTCCTGCATGAGTGCAGGCTGAAAGAACAGCAAGGAAAGTAACATGGTTGGGTTCAGGCCCTTCACACTGCATTTTCTTGTAGATTTTAATGGCTTCTTCACCAAAGCCATTTTGGGCAAACCCAGTAATGATTGAGTTGAAAGAAACTATGTTTGGTTCAATGACGTCTATGAAGATCGTGTAGGCAGCACTCACATACCCACATTTGGAATACATTGATACAAGAGAGTTTTGTACAGATAAATCACATTCCAAGTTCATCTTCAAAACATTAGTATGAATTTGCATCCCTTGATTCAGCATCACCAAAGCAGCTGAAGCTGAAAGAACACTGCTTAGTGTTAAAGGATTTGGTCTGCATCCTCCTCGAAGCATCTGAACATACCAATGCAAAGCTTTCTCATATTGCGTATTCCTCACAAATCCAGAAATAATGGCAGTCCAGACAATATCATCTTTCTCCGGCAACATTTCAAATAGCTTGATGGCCTTTCGAACTCTCCCGTTATTACAGAATCCAGTGATCATGGCTGTCCAAGAAATCAAGTCTTTCTCTGGCATATTCAGGAAAAGCCTGTAAGCTGCTTCTATTTCATCGTTATGAACATATCCAGAGATCAAGGAATTCCAAGAAACTATGTCCCTCTTGCTTATGGAGCTAAATATTTTGTCTGCCATGTCCACGCAACCCAATGTGCAATACATGGTTACAATGGTGTTACTCAAAACATCATCAGATTCAAATCCCATGCGTGAAACCAGCCCATGTATTTGCATTCCCTCTCGAATCCCACCACAACAACCGCAAGCTTTCAACACTATAGTCATGGTTGTGGAATTAACCTCCACCAGATTTTCCCTTCTCATATTTAAAAACAAATCAAACCCATCTTTGAAGCATCCTTTTTTCATATACCCATCTATCATTGCACTCCAGGAAACCACGTTTCTTTCAGGCATTCTATCAAACAAGTTTCTAGCATCAACAATCCTTCCATTTCTGCACAAACCATCAATCATAGAAGTCCAAGAGAACACGTCTCTCTCAGCCATGCCCACAAAAACCCACAACGCCTCATTTATTCTATCTATCTTCGAAAACCCAATTATCAATGCATTCGAACAAGCCGGATCCCGCAACTCTAGCGGAGCTTCAAAGTACAATTTTTCAGCCTCATGGAACATTCTTGCACGAACAAAACCAGTAATCATAGCAGCATATGAGACGTCGTTGCGTTCATGCATCATAGAAAACAACCTATAAGCTTCATGGACGTTACATCCATTACGTATATAAGCAGAAATCATAGCATTATAGGAAGCTGTGGTTCGTTCTGGCATTTCTTCGAACATTTTGCGGGCATTTGCAATTTGGCCATTTTCACCATAAGCAGTGAGCATAGCAGTCCAGGAGACAGTACTCTTTCTGGGCATACTCCTAAATATTGACTCTGCCTCTTTGATATTACCGTTTCTGCCATTTTTGGTGATCTGAGAATTCCAGTGTGCGATCAATTTACCGCCTTTAACCCTTTTCGCATCGGTATGAAGAAATTTGGATATCTGGGGAAAACTAATCATAAAAATTGAATGCTTTAGACGACAAAATCGCTCGAAAAGAAGCTTCGTTAGCATGTCTCCATTTGGGGTTGAGGCGATAACTCCATTGCCGAAGAGGTACAGCCGGAACTGAAATACCAGAGTTGAGTATCTAGAAATCAGAGGAAAGATGATTGTGTATTTCGAAGCAGGACATTCTTCCCTTCATATATTTCCTCCACATACCGTTACTACCTATTCATTTTCTTCTCACTGCATGATCCAATTACAAACGTTAGTTTCCCACCGCAAGAAACCCCTGATATCCATCCCAGGACCAATTGTAATGGCTCAGTATTATATGATCAAGACTTTAAATTGTCCGTGGCGGTGGTTTTGAAGTCTGAAACATATTCATAAATATAATTTTTCTTTTGGGCCTGAATTAAAGAATAGGAAAGAGTCAAGTGGAAGATTGGAATAGAAATCGCTACGCCCGCGTGTTTATGAAGTTTCTCGTGCTTTCCCGGTCGTTATCTCTGTGCGCTCTCTCAATTCTTTGCTTCATACATAATTAGGCATTTATGTGTTTTTGTGTATAACACCACGAAACCTAGCATCTACATCTACTGTTGGCCAACCTAGCAGGGACAAGGAGATCAGAAATACCTTTATTGAGATTTAGTTGAGATCAAATTAATTTAAATTGCTTTGTATTTATAGATTGTTATAAATTTTATGTCTTGTATTGATAATCGCTTTTGGTAATATGTGAAATGTGTTCTTAATTTTCGAGTGAATGAAATGTGCCCCTTTAAAAAAATCACAGTGGCTTTAAAAAACTTGGGCCTTTACCTAGAAGGCTAGAACTGAGTTCATTTAGGGATGTGCCCCATCTTCTAATATGAGAAAAATTCAAGGTCAAATTGCTGATGGGTTGGGACAGAAACAGAAAGAGCAAGTCAGTTGCGTGAGAGGATGAAGAAGGAAGAAAAAATTCTTGTCATACTTGATGACATTAGGGAGAGACTTGATTTGATAGAAATTGGAAGTTGGAACTCCCTTTGGGTGAAGATCACAGAGGATGCAACCTCTTGCTGACATCAAGAAATTCTGATGTTTTAATTAATTAAGATGGGAACTGAAAAGGATTTTCGTCTTGAGGTTTTTATCAGAAGATGAAAGTTGGAGCCTTTTCAAAAAGATAGCTGGTGAGATCGTTGATGATGAGAATTTGAAACCTACTGCTTTGAAAGTAGCTGAACGATGTGCTGGTTTGCCACTTTTGCTAGTTACAGTGGCCAAACGCGTTGAAGAACAAGGAGTTACTTGTCGTGAAGGATGCATTAAAACAATTGACTAGAGTTGACCGGGAGGGATTGAAATCTAAACTGTACTCTGCTATAGAGCTAAGTTACAATTATTTAGGGGCAGATGGGCTGAGAAAATTCTTTCTGCTCGTCATGCTCTATCTTTTCTTATATACTACTTGCAGTTCTAATCATAAGATCTCATTTATAGTTTACAAACAATATCTTATAATTAGAATCAAAGATAGTATTTTGTATTCTTTGGAGCCACTTGACATCTTTTATTTTTACGCAAGAACATGACTTTACGGCCTCTCTGATTATACTCATCAATCCATTTATTTATTTTTTGCTTACCAGTCATAGAATTTTCTGCTTCAGTAGTAAGTATGAGCCTTGTGAAGAGATACATATCTATCGTTAAGAACAGTGCATGGACAATTACACTTTCAGTTACTACAGGTGAAAGACACAATCAAGTTGTGATTGACATTAGTATATGAAAAGCGACCAACTACAAAGCATGGAAGAAGCTAATTCGTTAATCTTGCCGTAATGCTCATAATTCAATTTAGCTCAGGGATGCCAAGGCAAGTGCAGTGTTCACTATACCGAGAAATCAAATTATATTGCTATTCCAATATATTTATAGCAACAGTCCAGACATGTAAATAAGATTTGAGCATTGGATCATTTCAAACTTATTCCCTTGCTATGTTATTCTAATAACAATAAGGGAATAATCATTTTGTATACGTTTTATTCCTTAATCCTGTTTAAGTTCTTTACACGCTTTCAAACTTTCACAGTTTCACTTGACGGACGAACTCAACTTTCTCCGGCAGCCTAAGCAACAGCTAGCAAGTATTTTGACAAAACCTATTTGACTGTTGCAAAACCCAAACCCACTCAAAATTCTTGTATAAAAGGCTAATTACAACCATAACCTAGATTCTCCAGTACTCTTCAAAGCATCCACTGGGATGACTGTACAAACAGGGAAATCAACAAAGCTAAGATATTATGGGCAAGATACATACAATGGCTAAGACATTGATTTCATATCTGTTCCGTCCCACCACTCACACTGTCATGCTTTGTTTCAACATAATCTTTTGAAGATTTGTCAGGGCTGCCATGCTTTGCAGACTCTTCTTCAACATCTGGCTCCTTGGTCAGAACTTCATTGCCCAAAGTGGCGTCAGGTGAACGTGTCTGAACCACATTCTCACTGGAATTGAAAGGGTCATTGTTGAAAGAAACAATGACCTTGGAAGCAACGGGAATTCTTCCATCGCTGGGTGATTGAACTGAAAGAGAGTCATCATCGGAAGAGTCAGATTCTTCTAGGATTCTTGTTTCTTGAACCCCTGGTGAGTCAACCTGAGATTTTCTTGATTTATGGGAAAGCACATGCTTTAGGCCACGAGCTGATTTCCCTGCTGCATGCTTCAGCACATTTTTTGCCTTGTCTTTGGCATTTCCCTTGCCTGCGCTCTCTGAACCATTGCTTTCAGGGGATGTTCCTTCTATCTGAACCTTACCAGAGGCAAACTCAGAAATGTTATCCTCCATAACAAAGTGCACACCAATCTTTTTGGCATTCTCGGCTGAAATGTTTGCGTGTGGAGGTGGAACAGCCTCTCCAACACTACGTGCTGATGTCGGTGTTGGAGGCTCATTCTTTGGGCCCCTTCGAAATACTGACCCAATCTTGTGCAGTCCATTCATAATTGATTTTATTCTGTGCTTATCCTCTGGGTTATCATCATGACTGCTGCAGTCATTGTTCGAGGATCCAGATGCTGCTGAGTTAAAACTTCCACATAAATCATTAGGCTCCCTGTGAATTTCAGTATCAAGGCGTCGGCTCCTCCCTTTTCTAGGTTCCCATGTTTGGGACACTTCACTACCTGGTTGATGAACCCAAATTCCGGTCTCCTTTTGCCCTTCAACATCTATAGGCTCATAGTTATCTGCAACTTTTTGGGATTTTTCTGACGAAACAGATGAGAATGAACTTTTATTGTAAGCCTCATTTGCAAAGGAATTCCTTTCTTGTTCAGCATCCATTGCTTCCTTGTTACATGTTTTATCAACCTCCTGAAAAGATTAAAGAGAAAAAAGATGAAATCAAACAAAAGATCGCTGTTCAAATAAATGGGAGCAACTCAATGTTTCCATGGCAGACTAAAATCCATTTTTATTTTCCACCTTCATTTCTCTTTTTGTTTATTTCTTATTTGAATTTGAATGCTGATTTTTAAATACTACATAAAGAATCCTAATATATGGGAAAGAAAAAGATACCTTTGCATTGTCTTCAAGAATAGTTATAGCCAGGTGCAACCTCCCCGTTTTAATATTCTGAAGAGGTAACCACATATCATGCCTCTGGCCATCCCTCAAATCACCGAGGTTGACAGAACAGCTTCTATGGACAGTAAAATGTTCAATTAGCCTATCAAAAGATGAGTACTGACAGATGACAAGAGATCAAAGGAAACATATCCACAGCAAGGAGTATGACTTGAACAGCAAGAAAAGGCTGAACCAAGTGATGAAAAAAGGATTTTAAAGAATGAAAAATATTATCGCAATCTCACATGAAACTGAAACACCCAAAATTCTGAATCCAAACTGATCAGTAATTGGAAGCTATGAAATATTAGGTGTCAGGGAAAGATAAAGAATCCAGAGGTGGATAGCTGGAACCATCAATTGCAGAAATCACGGTTGCAGTAAGTCTAGAAACGAAAGCCGATAAACTGGAAATACTAATCAAAGCGAAATGGTTCTTTGGTTATTACTTGATCGCCAGAGACCTCATGTTAAATGCCAAGATATGTAAATTTAGAAAAATCAAACACAAATACATAAACGTCAACTAGCCAGTGTGTTCATATATGTTAGAATTTTGTATTTGTATGAGTCAAGAGAAAGTTGACCCTTAAGACCAAGTTAAAATAAATCTATTAAGTTCAGAAAGAGAAACAAACCCGAGGTTATCATCATAGAAGTGGTCCTTGTCACAAACTTCAATAGCCAACACATTAGCACACTCCCACGTTACAATGGGAATTTTAAATTCTTCTAGCCATTTTGGATTAAGTGTTTTCTTTTGTATCTTTGTCCTGAATCTGTAGCCACCTGAATGACCTTTTACATATGGATCTGCTAACCCTGAAATATAATGCAATTTTCACAAATGAGAAAAATAAGAGGCAGACAGGAAATCCTCATATTCATCACAAATTAAGAGATGACCGTTTAGATCTGATGGCTTCATGTCAGATCCTTCAACAACTTCTACATAGGCATAGGCGACAGGCTCCTTCTCATTGATGGAGAACCAAGGCTCTGCAACATTGGGAATTGTGGATGGATGAGCATGTGCTTTTAATAATGCAAAAATACAAGTCAAATGCATAACATATGTTGATATGGATTCTGACAAATAAAAATTACCCAAGATATACAACCATGAGTGAGTTATGCAGATTGTGATGTGGTTTGCTACAGATACATATTGAAAAACCAGATGAATGACGAATCTTATGACATTAGAAGTTTCCCCAGAATCATTTCATTAATCAAACCCTCATATACAGCCAAAATATGGCTAACTAAAACGCAATTTTTACCATAACGATGATCATAATGCCTACTTTGAGTGACTAAGCCCATCCCAAAAAGTTTTTTCTTAGGGGGGAGGGTGGTTGGAAAATTGTTTTTAGCGAGCAAATCAGTATGTTTGAGTTTACGAAGCAGCAGTATAGCAAGATTCAAGCTATACCCATGATGGACACAAGTAATTTTTGGTTAGTTCATCACCCCTAAAAGTAATGAATGAATGTAAGTCAAGTCAGGCTTACATACAAATGTAAGTATAAAAACGCGTGACTTACCTGGCTGGGGTGAAGCAAATTTCTCAACATCAACAACCAGCATATTAGGCTGCAAAATTTGTTAACGTATAAATATAAACATAAAATTGAAAACAAATAAGCTATACAGCAAGAATGGGACTTCAACATTAGAAACTACTAGAGAAAGAAGAAATAAGGAATTCCATGACACTTGTATGTTTATCAAATCATTTTAACACATCATCAGGCCACAAATTAGCCCAAAACAAACTTATCATTAGAGAACTAACTTCACCTCAACAAGAGTCTGTTCAAATGCGATGGACAAAAGCTTATCCTGATAAAAAGAAAAATTAATCAAATGCTGAGAAAATAGATAAGAATAATTAAGGATGGGCGAGAGAATACAAATGAAAAGAAAATAAAACAATTCTGAAAATTCTTGTTTAAAAAAAAAAAAAAAAAGCAATGTACACTTACTAGCCATCCAGCAATCCCAGGAACTTCTGTCACATCAAGGCCATGAGTAAATATAGGCTTAACAGTCATTTGGAAGTATGGAGGTTCAACAAAGCACACACGCAAACGACTGAGGAAAGGCCATGTTTGGCGAAATCTTACCCCAACCAAAACCTGAAGAAGAGGAAAATAGAGATAAAGTAGAACAGTCAGATTTTATTACATTTCTGTTCACTGCATGTTTGAAAGTCATTTCGAATTAGGATATATGGAAAGCCAACAAACCATTCTCATAGATCTCCACCTCAATCAAAACAGTGTTCCAAATCATTTAAAACTCAAAAGACATAGGTACCAAAGCTTTTATTGCTATTTCTCACTAGAGAATTAAAAAAAGAAAATGCGCAATGGCTTTCACACCCTTGCTTGTTTGTCTAACGGCTTTCATGCTCGGGCCCAAAGTAACTTAAAACTGTGCATGACAAATATTAATAACTGACAGTATAAATAATTTTCATAATACAAACTATAAATGGTAGTGGAAATTTTTAAACCCCTTCCCCCATATGGTCGTCTTGTACATCTTGCCTTCTAAAAAAATTACTAAGCTGTTCATTTTTAACTCAGACATTGCACTGTGCACATCACATTTATCCTTCTCATTACCAGTATTTCTGTTTTTTTTTAGAAATAAAAATGATACTTGAGAACCCTTAAATTCATAAAATTTTATTGACTAATTAGTCAATAAGAAATAAGTTTATATTCATCAAATGAGTCGCTAACCGGCTATAAGTTAGGTTCTACAGTCATACCTTCCCTTCAACATGCATACCCGTTATGTGCAGCTTTGCCCACATCCCAAAGCCTAATCTTTTCCTCAGTTTTACGGCTATTATTGCACTCATATCATCAGCCGTAAGAAAATTCATTCCTAATTCCAGAACCTGCATAGATCACAATGCAACATCTAAATCACACCAAAGAAGATTTCTAGCAGCAAATGCTGAACAAAAGACCGTTAGAATATGCTGCTTTAAATACCACATACCAAGTGGTCATCGTTATTTTGACGAAGCACCCTCATGTCAGTGAATAAAGGGGGGTTTCTCCCCAGGTACAGGTGCTGAACCATAGCTTTTTTCTGCAAGTATCATGCACAGTCGAGTCACCAATATTTCATCGCACCTCAATTCTCATGTCAAAGAAAGGGAAGAAAAAAGCTGTATATATTGCTGGCTAAGCATCTCATTAAAAGAAAAAAAGATGAAATTAATATAGTACTTAGACATTAATACATACTTAACATGAAAAGAATGTTCCAATTTCTAAATTGACGTAACACAATCAAACACTAATAACAGTCACAGAGTCACAAGACGTACAGCAGTCCAAGGCTTGTACTTCTCCAAGAACCAAGGTACGATTGGGAGCAAAATCTTCTGAGAAACAATTTGTTCCATGCATATGGGCCATATGTTTTCAACTGCATGGTTCAACCACCTCACTGATTCAGAATCAGAAAGCACCTGAAGTACAAGAATAGCCGTTATTCAACTTATCAATACAATATCATAGTCCTTTACAATTAAAATACGACATCTCAATAATACAATAGAATTCCAATGACAACACAAAAACACGCTACCAAAAGAAATGCTGAATTTTAACTCACAAAAGACAAACATGAAAAAAGAAAAGATATGTTTTAAAACCAGAATTTCTTAAATCCTTTTATTTTATTTCCTTATAGTGAAGTTTCATATAGTTTTCTTTTTTTGTACGAAAAGAAAAGAAAAACAGATGAGTTAAATGGTAAACTGAGGGCTTTTTGAAAAGCAATAAAAATAGATTGGAAAGTACCAAGGGAATAACGGAACTTAGATGCAGACTTCAACTTGTCTCATTCTCTTGGTATCAGATTCCGTCTGTGGGTTTAAGGAGGCAGGAAATGTTTTTTGAAATCCACGTAACATAGTTCTTTACTCTTTTTCACCCAAATCGAATGAATCGAGCGGATTAGCAAGTGTATCCTATAATAACAAATAACAGTTAAAAAGCAGAATTACCCTTCTTTGATTAGCTTGTTTCCTCTCCTCAAATTGTAACTTCCTCCGCAGTCTCGTGACATAACGTTCATGAACCTTGGTCAGAGGAAAGGATGAAAGATTGCAATCAGCAATAGATTCAGTCTATATTTTTTCGATATTCTTTAGACAAATAAAAGGATATAATACGGAATATGATTCAGGTTCCGAGCATCAGTAAGGGCCACTTTGTTTTCTTTTTGACGTTATCGATCGAAAGACAAATCTAAAAGAGATAAAGGAGCAAGAATAAAGCAATCAAGAAAGGGCGAGAAACAAAGAAAGGAAGCATGAAGCTAATGATAATAGATGTGCAGAACATGAAAATATTAGGAATCTGAATATAGAAGGCAACCAGAGTAACAAGTATGGACTCATACCAGGTAGAGATAGATCAGTGCTCCAAAATAAGCAACGGGGTGGCAACAGTTGAAGGCAGATAGCAACCAAAGCCCCAGAAGCACAATGCACGCATGATGCAATATTGAAATTTCTGTTATATCCATACCTTCCTCCTCCTCTTGTTCCTCTTTCTCTCCAAACTCAAACCCCTTCGGCCAGCCAAAACTACAGACTATCGCAGAATTATTGAGGGTCTTAACGCACCCACTGATTCAGACGCAAAACTACCTTTCAATCCGATATTAACTGAAAGCATACACACGAAAGATTCCTCAAATCCGATCCCCTATCAAAATGCTTCAACAACAAAAGCTAAAAGAAATGCTGTGACGTCAAGAAGTAAGAAGCATGAGGGACAACGTATGAACAGGACTTTAATAACGAAGTCACAAACTGAGCGAAATTCCCATGAGGCCCTCTCAAAATGCCAAGCCGTAGAGCAAATGATCAAACTGACACGTTCTCCACTCGACAAGAAGACGGCAGTAACAGGAAAATGGATAGAGACCTAAAATGTAACCGTAAAAGTAAAAATAAGAGGGAGGAATTCAAAGAGGTCTCCGACGGACCAAACGGCGTCGTACGGGAAAAGGTGGCGAGGTCACTGGCGATCGGCGATGTGCCCAACGGCTTCCAGAGAGAGGGGCTGCATTGAAAGGTTGACCGCGATATTGAGCCACGTGTCGGGGAAGCGTCCATGACGCGGACCATCAGATCAACAGGTGTCGGCACGTACAGAACATATATGATTTTTGGATTGGATAAAACCAAGCCCCAAAATTATGAATAAAATTATATACATTTATGTAGTGAATTTAGTGAAGGGTAAATTAGTACATGAAACGTATTATAATAAAAATAATTTAAATTTTTATTTCCCCCTTTGTTGATATCATTATAAAATAAATGAATAAACGTACGAATTAAAACTTAGGCGGCCCCGCTTTGTTCGCTGGGACGACTATGGTCACGTCACATGCAAGTGGCTTTGGATTCGGTATTCCATATTTTTTCTTTTTTTCTTTTGTCCCCCCCAAAAAAGGGAAAATTGCAAATAAAGAGCCCTCAATATATAAAATAGCAATCAGGGAGCCTAAATTTGAGAAATTACTCATAAGGACCCGATCTCAATTTGCAATTATAAAATCATGGTCAAATTACCAAAATACCCCTCTTTAATTTTTTTTCCAAAAAAGAACACCACTGCCTCGCCGGAATCCAACCGCCGGCGCCGGAGTTCCGGCCACTGGAGCTTCGCCACCTCAGCCGCCGGATTCCGGCGACCTTCCTTTATTTTTTTCTTGAAACTGTTTTTTTTTTAAATTGGGGGGAAGTGAGGTTGGGGGGATTTGATCCCCCAACCTCATGCTTCCCAAAATTAGGAATGACCATTGAGCCAACAAATTTTTGCTAACATTATAAGACAAAAAAAAAAATAAGTTAACTCATTTACTCTTATTCCAGGTGATAACAAGAATACATTTGAAAATAACAAGTTCTGATTATAAAATAACAAGTCTGGGATTAAAATTTAACAACACGTTTTTTTTTATAACAACACACTCTGTTGCAGGTGATAACAACAATACATTTGAAAATAACAAGTTCTGATTTTAAAATAACAAATATATTATTTACGTTCAATTCGAATTTTTATAATTATAAAATTCAAATTATAATAATAAATTTTTCTAAAATTAAAATATGATTATAAATAATTTATATTTAAGTATAATTATTATTCTGATTATTTATTAATTACTAAATGATTATATTAATTATTTTGTCCAATTATATAATTATTAATTTAAAAATGAAATTAATTTCAAAGAATAAAGTTAATAAATAATTTTTCAAAAACTACAAAGCACCTAATTAAAAAATAAGCGAAACTATAAGGACCTGATAAAAAGAAAAAAAAATAGAAGGACCTAATTAAAAACACACGAAAGTAAAAGGATCTGATAAAAAGAAAAAATTTTATAAGGAGCCAATTAAAAATCAGATGAAACTATAAAGACCTGGAGATTAATTATCTCTAATTATAAATTAGAGATAAATTTCATTTATAAATTTAAGCAATAAAAAAGTATTTTTAATCTACAATAAATTGTACTATTTATAATTTATAAGAAGTAGTTTGATTTATAATGAGTTGTATAGATATATAGATTAAAAATTTTAAAAAAAAATTAAAAAAGTGTGTTGTCATTTTCCCTAAATTTTATTTATAAATTTGAACAATAAAAAAGTATTTTTAATCTATAATAAATTACACTTCAAGTTTTGATTATAAATTGGAGATAAAAATTATTTTTTTAGCAAATTAAATAGATTTAAAATACTTTTTATAAGTTATAAATAATTTATTTTTCAAAAGTATAAAATAATTAATTGTTATAAAAAAATGTGTTGTTAAATTTTAATTTTAGATTTCTTATTTTATAATCAGAACTTGTTATTTTCAAATGTATTGTTGTTATCACTTAGAATAAAATGTGTTGTTATATAAAAAAAAGGTGCTCTTAAATTTTAATTCCAGACTTGTTATTTTATAATCAGAACCTGTTATTTCCAAATGTATTGTTGTTATCACCTGAAAAAGAGTGTGTTGTTATAAAAAAAAACGTGTTGTTAAATTTTAATCCCAGACTTGTTATTTTATAATCAGAACTTGTTATTTTCAAATGTATTATTGTTATCACCTGCAACAGAGTGTGTTGTTATAAAAAAAACGTGTTGTTAAATTTTAATCCCAGACTTGTTATTTTATAATCAGAACTTGTTATTTCCAAATGTATTGTTGTTATCACCTGAAACAGAGTGTGTTGTTATAAAAAAAACGTGTTGTTAAATTTTAATCCCAGACTTGTTATTTTATAATCAGAACTTGTTATTTTCAAATGTATTGCTGTTATCACCTGCAACAGAGTGTGTTGTTATAAAAAAAACGTGTTGTTAAATTTTAATCCCAGACTTGTTATTTTATAATCAGAACTTGTTATTTCCAAATGTATTGTTGTTATCACCTGAAACAGAGTGTGTTGTTATAAAAAAACGTGTTGTTAAATTTTAATCCTAGACTTGTTATTTTATAATCAGAACTTGTTATTTCAAATGTATTGCTGTTGTCACCTGCAACAGAGTGTGTTGTTATAAAAAAAACGTGTTGTTAAATTTTAATCCCAGACTTGTTATTTATAATCAGAACTTGTTATTTCCAAATGTATTGTTGTTATCACCTGAAACAGAGTGTGTTGTTATAAAAAAAACGTGTTGTTAAATTTTAATCCCAGACTTGTTATTTTATAATCAGAACTTGTTGTTTTCAAATGTATTGTTGTTATCACCTGCAACAGAGTGTGTTGTTATAAAAAAAACGTGTTGTTAAATTTTAATCCTAGACTTGTTATTTTATAATCAGAACTTGTTATTTTCAAATGTATTGCTGTTGTCACCTGCAACAGAGTGTGTTGTTATAAAAAAAACATGTTGTTAAATTTTAATCCCAGACTTGTTATTTTATAATCAGAACTTGTTATTTCCAAATGTATTGTTGTTATCACCTGAAACAGAGTGTGTTGTTATAAAAAAAACGTGTTGTTAAATTTTAATCTCAAACTTGTTATTTTATAATCAGAACTTGTTGTTTTCAAATGTATTGTTGTTATCACCTGCAACAGAGTGTGTTGTTATAAAAAAAAAAAACGTGTTGTTAAATTTTAATCCCAGACTTGTTATTTTATAATCAGAACTTGTTATTTTCAAATGTATTCTTGTTATCACCTGGAACAAGAGTAAATGAGTTAACTTATATTTTTTTTTGTATTATAATGTTAGCAAAAATTTGTTGGCTCAATGGTCATTCCTAATTTTGGGAAGCATGAGGTTGGGGGATCAAATCCCCCCAACCTCATTCCCCCCAATTTAAAAAAAAAAACAATTTCAAAAAAATAATAAAGGAAGGCCGCCGAGGTGGCGGAGCTCCGGTGGCTAGAACTCCGGCGCCGGCGGCTGGATTCCGGCGAGGCAGTGGTGTTCTTTTTGAAAAAAAAAAAAATTAAAGAGGGGTATTTTGGTAATTTGACCTTGATTTCATAATTACAAATTGGGACCGGGTCCTTGTGAGCAATTTCTCAAATTTAGGGTCCCTAATTGCTATTTTATATATTGAGGGGTCTTTATTTATAATTTTCCCTACAAAAATGTATTCCATGCTTTTTCACAAGCCCATTAACATTATTGCTGACTTAACTATAGAAATTAGCCCTTATAATCATATTTAATACTACCTCCAGTCCTAATTATAAGAACCAGTTAACTAATTTGAGGAAATTAGAAAAGTAAGTTGAGTTAGTTATTTGTCCTAAATAGATGTTGTCTTTCCTAAAATATCATTGCTAATCAAGTGTATTGACTAGAACTCTTATTATTAGAAGGGCTACTTTGGGAAAAAAATATATAAATATGAGAGATAAAGTGGATTGAGGTCTTATATTTAGGATCAAAATAAAAGTCAAACAGGATCTTATATTAAGGACTGGAGGTAGTATCAGATAGTACCTTAAATAAGAGTGTCTTAAAGAGTAAGATAATTGTGGTTAATAATAAAAATAAGTTACATTCAGATCATTAAGTAAATTTCAAATATATTTTTAAATAATAAATTTTGTAATAAAATTTTTTTAGCAATTTTTTCAAAATCAAAGACTTTCAAAGCCGCACCCTTCTCTTCTTTCTACACGTTTTCCTTCTTTACTTCCCTTGTGAGTTACTACTACAATTTTGTTTGCAATTTTTTATTCTCTGTGTCTGTCTTTGTATTCTTTACACAAATATTTTATGTGCATGTCCCTACGTATACGAGAAGGAAAGCTATTAGAGTTAAGTTAAACAATATTATGCCAGCTAAAACTGCCAACTCAGTAATTGGATGAATACAATTAACTTCACATTAATTAAAAAAACAATCATCTTCTTTTATAAGAAAAGCATAATTTTGTTTTAAAAAATGCTAAACTTAAATACTTTAAAATCCAAACCGAGCCCAACACATACCTCAATACATGATATGGGGTGTTGAATACTAAATTACTTTGCAAAAAAATGAAATCCTTATCATTTAAATTTATTTCAATAATTAAATTCTTTTATCAATTACATTTTTTCGGCCAAACTTTTATCTATTCCAATATCAGCAGCATTATTTCATGATAATTTTTCTACGTTTGAATATCATGTTTAAGGGGGTGTTTGGAAATAACCAAACTATAGTTTGGAGAATAGCTTCTGAAGAATAGATTTTGGGAAGAATAGATTTTTTGAAGAATAGATGTTGTGAAAAAGTGATTCTGAGAAGTGAGAGTGTTTGGATAGTTGTTACCAGAAACACTTTTTACATGTACAAATTACTAAAAAAGGCATAAGTTAATATGATAATTACAGAAAATATATATTTTATGATATATTTTAATTTGAAGGAATAAAATTGTTAATAATATATTTTTTATTAACATCATTAATAATACATAAGATAATATAATTAATAAATAATTAATATGTATATATATTTATAAGATATAAGATTAAATATATTTATAAAAAATGTTTATAAAAAAACAACAAGATACATATCTTATAGGCTCTTACACTCTCTTTCTTTTTTCCAAAAGCAAAAAAATTTTGCTTTTCCCAAAACCATGGTTTTGATTTTTTTAATAGTGTTTGGGTGATTTTTTTCCTAAACCATGGTTTGGGTTGGAACCCAAACACCTCCTAAGACTACTGACAACTAGGCGCCCAGGATTATGATTACAAGTATTTGACTTTGGGTGTGTTTGGATAGAAACCAAACCATGGTTTCAGAATTGCTTTTACGGATTACGAAGTAAATATGTGGAGGAGATTATCTCGTTTTGCGGAAAAGTGCTTCTGAAACCACGGTTTTGGGATACCCAAACAGGCCCTTTATCCTCTAACAAATTTCATATATTTGTTATTTAAAGACGTCATTTCTGACTTATTTATCAAATGAATATTTCAAAGCTTTAAAAAAAACTGTGTGAATGAATAATTTATGAGATCCAATTTTTAAGGTATGAAATTTTTAATTAATAAGAAAAATTATGACAAATTCAATTTCAATTCTTTTTTTTTTCCTGAATAAAATATTTGAAAGCACATGTCATCTTCGAAGTTACGGTGGGGCCGGATACATGATCCGTTGTGGATAAGGAAGGGGGTCGGGTCCGGATACTCGGCCGGGTTGCGGAAACTTACTAGCTAAGCAAATCTCTCTACCCACGATCCACGCGGAAATTAATTCCCTTTATTTTATTTTGTGAAGGCGACTTATACATGAAACCATAAATTTTATGAAGTCCTTAAAAATTATTCCGGAATTAATTTTTCTTGAGGTTAGCGCTATTAAAGATTTTGTTATCATTTTATAAAAATAAAGTTCTTAATTATTAAAATGAACTAGTTACTACTATTTCATATATTTTGAGATTTAATTAATTATTCTTATAGTAATACTTCTCCGATTCTTAATATAAGACATATTTAACTAATTTGATTAGATTAAGAAAGTTGGGTAAGTTAGTTAATTATAAAAAATATTACATGTTTTTTCTAAAACACTAAAATCATCTTTCTTAATATTCTTCATCCTTCTTTTACTTAATTATGGTTGAGAAAGTATCTATAAAGGTAATTTATAAAAAAAATTAATAAATATGAGAAATAGATATTATATTTAAGATTAAAATTGACTCAATAATTAGGTTCTGTATTAAGTAGAGGAAGAGTATTATTTATGGTTCTTAATAATAATATGACTTTTTAGGCACAAAAGTTAGTGGGGATTAAAATCATACTTTAGCCGCTCCAAGTCCAAGGTCTAAGGGGGTGTTTGGGATCACGTTTGGAGCTCCAAACGTGCATCCCCACCTGATAAGCCGAAGAGACAGAGTTTTATCATGTTTGGGCCCACGTTTTCTCAATCTGGCTTCTGAGGCTGAAATGGGTTTCTGGAAGAAGCAATCTGAAGGGGCTTTTTTTGGGATGCTGAGGGGCGGTGAAAATACTGTTAGAAAATTTATGTGGGTGTTAAAGTTTTTTACCTACATGACCCTGACTCTGTATAAATTTTCTCTCACCTCACTTAAAACAAAAACACGAAACCATGGCTCAGGGGTACCCGCTTCAAAGAAGGAGTCGCTGAAACCAAAATACCCCTCCTTTTGTGCTTCTGCTACGCCACTCTGGACTTACCCCTCCTGGACCTCAAATCCCAGAGATTTTCCCTTTCTCACCAATCAAATGGTCACATTATATATATAATTTTTTATAACAATAAATTAAATTTCCTTATTTTTAATAATTTATTTTTATTACTTCTTTTAAAATGGTCACATCATATATATAATTTTTTTAATAATAAATTAAATTTCTTTACTTTTAATAATTTTATTTTCCTTATTTCTTAAAAAATAGTCACCTTATATATATATATATCTAATATTAGATATATACTATTTAATAAAATTCATGCCCTTTAAGTCATTTTACATCCAAACTTACTTTTACATTTATCATCCAAACAAGTTTCAGCTTCTCAAACTGATTTTTTTTCAAAATCCAATCCAAACATAAATCATATTACTTTATCTGACTTTTACTCAATCTGACTTCTGTAAAAGTCAGATTGAAAAAAAGTTACTTCTACCACTGCTATCCCAAACACACCCTAAAATTTCTCCAGTTATTTGCGGTTAGCTCCGAAGTTTCAGAGGGGGAAGAAGTCTTTTTACATAAGGACACTTATATTATTTTATAAAAAAATATTTTCTAAATACTCCTTCCAACCTTTAATATAAAAACTAGTTAAAGAATTTAAGTAGATTAAGAAATTTTGTTAAGTTAGTTATTTGTAATAAATATATGTTTTCTTTCATAAAATATCATTATTAATCGTATATATTAGTTAGAAGTCTAAAACTACTGAAAATTTAACATGTACAACTATTATGAGAATTATTTGAAAAAAATAGATAAATATAAAAGAAAATCTTATATTTAATATCAAATTAAAAATTAAACTAACTCCTAAAAATCTTAAAAAATGGGAGGCATATACGAATGAATGACGCCACGTTGGGTGATTATTTTGGAATTTACTATATGTCAGTCTCCCTAGTATTTTCAAACTTTTTTTTTAAAATGATTATATATGATTGCTGAATTTGAATTTGAGGAAAAAAGAAAAGAAAAGGAACATGCCGGGCATATCACTTGATGGGGCAGGTGCACGCAACGCGTCCTCCTCCAATGTTTTGTGCCCCACACATAGGACATTTTTCAACTAAGTTTTATCTTGTAACAAAACCGTTAATATCATTAACAATTATCTATTCTTTATATATATATATATATGCCCTTATTTATTAGGATAATTTAATCACAAACAAATATGAAAATCTCAATAATTTTAAATCTTAAAAAAATTAAAATGGTTTATATTTTTTAATATAAGAAGAGTGAAATTTTGTATTATAATTTTGAACGAAGGGAATATATTTCATGCATCATGAAAGATTAATTAATTGAAGAATTAATTAAAAAAAAACTTTAGCTATTGTTGTGTATGCTTATCTCAGGAAATACAAAAGTGTGACTTTAAAGTGATTAAGCTTTTTCCCCACTTGGTTAGTTGACGACCATGAATTAAGAAATGGACATTTAACTGTAACACTTAAAGAGACTCAGAATTGTCGAGAGTCAAGGGACTCTTATCTTTGAAAGTAGGAGATATCCGGCATCTTTATTAAGAAAATCTTAAATTATATTAACTATCTCTTAAAATATATTAATTTTTTAACTTTATCTTTATTTAATATATATACACACAATACATCTTTTATAAAATTATTATTTGCACTATAATAAATAAATAAAAAATAATGTATTCATGCTAAAAATTAAACAAAATAATTTATAAATAGGATTAAGAAAAGTCTTCTCTCTTTATCTCATAAATATGGCTAGATGGTAATTATAAAAAAAATCTCACAATACGTGAGTCATAAGTTTGGTATAAAAAATAATAACAAAAACATGTTGATTGTTTGCGATTGAAAATTGATAGTGATTATATTATTTTCTTACAATTCCATAGTAAATAAGTGCCATTTTAATATACCAATTAAATTATTTAGTTTTTGTAAGAAATGAAAATTCATAATAACAAAGAACAACCAGTCAACAACTGTCACGTGGTGGCGGCTCCTTCTTTTGCCAGTTGATGGGTATCCTAAAAATACTTGAGTGTTCACTCTGAAGTATTCTCAAGTTCTCACACGGTTTTCTTCACGCTGCAACACTCACCTAACTCAACTGATACACTCATCACACTAACCGGTCGTCGCTTTGGAGCACTGGCGAGGCTATGGCCGACGACGACAAATTAAACAAAGGCGGCCGGCCATATCCCAGCGCGCCGCCTCAATACGGCACATTCTATCCTCCTCCTCGTGGTCCTCCGCCTCCGCCTCCGCCCCCGCCCCCGCCCCCTCCCCCTCCTCCACCGCCTCCCCCGCCTGGCTTCCCCGAACCTGTTCCTCCACCCGGAGTCGTCTACCCCCCTCCCGGTCCGCCTGATTATTACGCTCAGGGCTACCAAGCTGTTCCTGGTATGGTTGTAATTCTTGTAAACGAAGTCACTTTCTTTTGTTTGGGGTTTCAAAATCAATTTGTGGCTGACGGTTTTTAATTCCATTTTTTTAGTTTCTGTAAATGCCATACTGAAGATGTTCGAAATAACACTGATTATATTGATGGGAACTTGGTTTTTGGTCATTGTTAGTGTTCTGTTTCTGCCACTTGCTTTAGCTTAGTCCCTGCGACTGTTTAGAACCCAAAAAAAAAAAAAAAAGCTTTACCTAACTTTTATTGAGAGACTCCTAAACGTATTTCGGTTGGACTTGGGAAACTTGACAACCTGTTTGTTATAATGCGCGATAGAACTCCTTGGATGTTACTCAAAACAAAGACCTCATTGCTGAGTCTTTTATGCCAGAAGAAGTTCATTGCCGTTCTGTTCTTCTGATATCCCATCAAAGCTTATGTTCACTCCTTCAATGTCAAATAGGAATTCTCAGAATGTGTTAACTGTTCCACTCACTACATTATGTATAATATTCTCTGGTTTCAGGGTATCCCGTGGCTGAAGGAAGACCTGTAAGACCACGCCGTCTTCGTTGTTGTGGTCTTGGTTGTGGTTGGTGCCTGTAAGTAGATTCTCAGTCCAGTGTTTCATTCATATCTTGGCGCTGCCTTCTTCTTTCAATGCTTCAGTTAATCAATATCAATTCATCTTAGCTTCTATCACCATCGACATTTGCCTCTGCTGAAACTTCATGAGTTCTCTTATTGTTAGACTAACTGTTGATTTATATGATTTACAAATGATATATACATATATATTATATCTGTGTGCTCGCGCGCGTGCTGACTTAGAATTTATGGTGGAATGTGAAGGTTTATATTAGGATTCTTCCTTGCTACGATACCATGGTATGCTGGGGCGGTGATTCTGCTGTGTTCCAGAAGATACGGGATGGACCCCAGAGAAAAACCCGGATATGTTGCTTGTTCTGTTGCTGTGAGTCATTCTAATAATTCCTCCTTCCTTTTTCTGGATCTAAGTTGAAGGACTTGAAGGTTTGGATGTTCTATTCACTACACCATATCACAGTATGAGATATGAGGGTGTACTCTGTAATGCGAAGGAGATTAATTTTTCTTATGGCATTCCAAAAGAAATCATGATGCGTAAGATTTTCGTAAAGATTACAATAAGCTAAATTTGATGCTTCGTCTACACGTAACTAAACTTTTTTATTTTTCCTTTCTTCTTTGATATTTCAATAAGTTTATATGTACGTAAATATAAGACCCTTATACAGTGTGTACGTAACAACCTGCGCTATTAATTTTGTAATTTGATTATTGCGGGGACTGGTTTTGCAGGCTGTTCTCGTTACTATTGCTATTATTATCGGGGTGACGAAGGGAGCGCATCTCTGGTAATTTTGTCATTGATGGAGGAGGTCTGTACGTGAGCATGTGGTTTCTTACTAAAGCTATGCGAAGAATGCTAGAGACCTTATGTGCCTCAACAAATATATATTTTTCTTCTTCCTCCAGGAAAAAAAAAAGGGCTGTATTACAATTGACAACAAATTCAGAGACGTCGCTATCTTTTTTATTTCCTAAAAATAATGTATAGCAGTTCCACTTTACTATTTCTTATTTAAATATAAAATCCATTTTGTAGTATAAAAATTATATTATGGATAGCAAACATAATAGGATTAACATGCCACTTGTGATTCATAAATTAGCAAATTCAAATACAAGTATATCAACAGAGGTTAGGTTTAATGGAAGTAGCAAGTTCTTTATAACTAGACGAATCTTTATTGGGAAAAATGCTCCTATCAAGTACTTGACATGATATTGAACATGATTACTTTCAATAAGAGAAATAAGGTAGAGAAGAAATAGAAATAATAATAATATCTCCCTTTTTATACAAAGAATAATAATCATCAAAGTGACAATGTACGTGCATAATTTTAATCAGAAGATTCATGTATATATATTGATGATTAGTGTTTATTAGTTGTTGTTCAATGAACTAAGAAATTTAATTGATTTATTTGATGAATATGAAGTGAATGTATATTTTTCAATCGGAAATGAAGAAAGAATTAAACAAACTGTCATGTGAATAATGATTTAATAGTTTTAATCAATATTAATAGATTACAACCTAAATTAATGGGACCAACCAGATTACATGTAAGGTGACGTTATGTAAATCATTTTATTTAAATTAGTTGATTAATTGAAACGCATGAGTACAAGGGAGTGCCACGACAGTAATGACAAAAATGAGAATAACCAAATCCACCCTAATCAGTTGACCAAAGCCGAAAATGTTACCTAAAAAAACATTCTCTGATCTTCATAATAGGATACGAGGCGTATCTATTGACCTTTATTATGTGGTTTTGAATCTGCATTGAGTTACTTTTATTGCAGGTAAGAATTCCTTTATATATGTGGTTCGGTCCATATCCAGCAGTGACCGTTGCAAACCCAGAAGACATAAACGAGGTTTTGAGCAACATTTCTGTATTTGAAAAGCTTCATTACAATCCATTGGTTAAATATCTCATTACAGGAAAATTAGACTACAATGGCGAAAAATGGATTGAACACACAAGAATTATCAACCCTGCCTTTCATTTGGAGAAGCTAAAGGTATACTTTTTTTTTTTTTTTCCTTTCTTTGCATTAGCTCTCTTAAGGGCAATGTATGCCGTTTTCCAGTTAATAAAAATTATGTCTATACATATCAACTTTGTGATACAAGGTTACCGACATTATATGAGAGTTGTAATGGAATGGCAAAGAAATGGGTTAGATTGGCGGGTGAAAGCGAAAAGGCATGTTGTGAGATAGATGCATGGCCTTTCTTTCAAAGCATGACCAGTGATGCTATTTCACGAGCAGCTTTTGGAAGCAGTTATGAAGAAGGCCAACGAATATTTCATCTCTAATTTGAACGAGTTTTTCTTACCCTCAATGTCCTTCATTCTATTTATATCCCTGGTTGGAGGTAATTTGCTTGAGAAAATTTATCGTTAAAATTAAAAGTTATATCTTGTTTAAAGTTCTGATAAATTATGAAAAATTAGTTATATACGACTCACTTTGATTGTGCTCTTCCTTGTGTGTGTAAAGATTTGCGCCAACTAAGCTGAACGGGAAATTGAAAGAAATAGAAAAAAGAAATACAAGTGTTGATAAGAGCAATAATTCAAAAGAGGGAGCAGGCCGTGGGCGCAGGACTGGCCTCAAGTGATGATCTCTTGGATATGCTTTTGGAATCTAATCGCAGAGAAATCAAAGGCAATGGCAACAACTAGGACATGGGAATGAGCATTGAAGATGTAATAAAGGAAGGTAAATTGTTCTACTTTGCGGGACCAGAGACAACCTCTGTTCTTTCTAATTGGACAATTGTGTTACTCCTCCGATCCTTAATATAAGACCCATTTAAGTAATTTGATTAGATCAAGAAAGTTAGGTAAGTTAGTTAATTATAAGAAATATGACATGTTTGTCTTAAAACACCATAATCATCTTTCTTAATACCCCCTCTCTCTTCTACTTGATTATGGTTGAGGGAGTATCCATAAAGGTAATTTAGAAAAAATTGATAAATATGAAAAATGGGTCTTATATTTAGGACCAAAACCAACTCAACAATTAGGTCTTATATTAAGAACTGGAGGAGTACTCTGCAAGCATCTCAGTTGGCAATCAAAAGCAAGAGAATTTTTTCAAGTGTTCGGCACTCAAACACTTGATTGTGATGTGTTAAATCGCCTCAAAGTGGTAGGATTATATGAATATGATGTTTTAATTTTACTTCCTTTTCTTGTTTGATTTCTTGTCATTCCAAAGTATCATTAGTATTTATGTGTTATCGGCAAGTATGATATTGTATGAGGTGCTTAGGCTATACCTTCCAGCTCCTTTGGTACTCAGATTTGTATCAAAGGATACAAGACTTGTAAATTTGAGTTTACGTACTGGAACTCAAGTTACAATTCCGATAATTGTAATACAATAAGATCCTCAATTGTGGGGAAAAGATGCAAAGGAGTTCAATCTATAAAAATTTTCCCAAGGAATCTCTAAAGCAACCGAGAACCAAACCTCATATCTTCCATTTATGTTGGGTCGAAGAATATAACAAAGCATCCAAGCTTAAAATTATACTTACTCTCTTTGATCCACAATATAAGTAGTCTATATAAAAATTACAGTGTAACACATAAGAAGTTGTCAGGATAATTACTACTCCTCCGGTCCTAAATTTATAATTTACACTACAAAATGAGTCTTATATTTGAGACTGAAAGAATAACATTTTCTCACTTTTGTCGTATTAATTATAAAATAGAATTTTCTCACATTCTTAATGGGTAAAATAAGAAAATTATATCTTTTCAGAATATATTTAATGATTTAACCACCATTACTTCATTTGTGAAAAAACTTAACAAACCTTTTATGTTATGGATGAGGAGTAGTTTTTTTTTTTTTTTGGATCCTAGCTAAACAAAACAACAAAGTAACTACTGAAGTCAACGAACCTCCTAGTGCATCTTAATTGCTATGATTCTGGTCAGACCATTTGAAAATAAATCTTGGCCACCACTCCGAAAGTTAAGAGTGTTCACATACAGTACTAATAGACTTTGTCCTATATATAATATATTCAACCTGGTACATGTTCCATATTGCTTCGTTCTTACTACTATGTTCTATTTCTAATTGAAATTAGAGGGCCAACATTATATTAATGGGAGCAACCTGGCTACAGGTTGGGGTGACGCTATGCAAACCATTTATTTAAGTTAACTAATTAAACTAATTGAACCATAAGAGACAATGTGGCTTAGAGAGCCACGTACGAAATGATATTAAATTAGTAATCCAATTTATCCGAACAAGTTACAAAAGAAAATACTCTCAAATCTTCAAATAAGATATGAGGCGTACGTGTCCATTGACCTATCAGCGATCCTCTTCATTCTGTTTGAGACCCCAACTCTGATCTCTGCTTCCTTTGCAGAGCCATGGAAGCCAATTCTATGATTGCTGCTATAGTTAAGGTGGTGATAGTGATAGTGATAGGAAGAGTGGTGAATTGGGTGTGGCTGAGGCCTAAACGACTCGAGAGATGTCTTAGACGACAGAACCTCAAAGGAAACTCTTACAGACTACTTGGCTTTGGAGACTTAAAGGAGATGGTTCAGATGTTTCAAGAAACCTACTCAAAGCCTATCAATATAGATGATGATATTATCCCTCGTGCTCTTCCTTTTCATCACCAGATGATTCAAAACTATGGTATGCCCCTTCACGGTAGTATGTTTTAATGATATATATAATTTGTGTTTGGAATCTGTATTGAGTTATCTTTTGTTGCAGGTATGAATTCCTTTATGTGGTTTGGTCCATATCCAGCAGTGACAGTTGCAAACCCAGAAGACATAAAGGAGGTTTTAAGCAACATTTCTGTATTTGAAAAGCTTCCTCACAATCCCCTGGTTAAATTGATCATTACTGGAATATTAGACTACAATGGCGACAAATGGGTTAAACACAGAAGAATTATCAACCCTGCCTTTCATTTGGAGAAGTTAAAGGTATGTCTTCTTTCCTTCTTGAACTCTCTTAATCAGGGCAATGTAAGTACCTTTTTCCCTTTAACCAAAATTATGTCTATGTATGGACTTATGCAAAGCTTAAGTTTGTGGCAGCTAATGTTACCAGCATTATATGAGAGCTGTAATGGAATGGTAAAGAAATGGGTTAGCTTGGTCGGTGAAAACGAAAAAGCTTGTTGTGAGATAGACGCATGGCCTTTCTTTCAAAGCATGACCAGTGATGCTATTTCTCGAACAGCTTTTGGAAGCAGTTATGAAGAAGGCCAACGAATATTCCAACTCCAATCTGAACAAGCTCATCTTACCCTCAACGTCATTCGTTCTGTATATATCCCTGGATGGAGGTAATTTGTTTGAGAAAATTTATCATTAAAATGGAAGTCCTGTCTTGCTTAAAGTTCTGATAAATTATGAAAAATCAGTTATATACTACTCATTTTGATTGTGTCTTGTTGGTACATGTAAAGATTTGTACCAACTAAGTTAAACAGGAGATTGAAACAAATAGAGAAAGAAATACAAGTATTGGTCAAAGGAATCATTCAGAAAAGGGAGAAGGCTAGGGAAGGAGGACATGCCCCAAGTGATGATCTATTAGATATGCTTTTGGAATCTAATCGCAGAGAAATCAAAGACAATGGCAACAACAAGAACATGGGAATGAGCATTGAAGATGTCATAAAGGAATGTAAATTGTTCTACTTTGCAGGACAAGAGACAACATCTGTTCTCCTTAATTGGACAATCGTGTTACTCTGTAAGTATCCCAATTGGCAATCAAAAGCAAGAGAAGAAGTCTTCCAAGTATTCGGCAATCAAGCTCAAGTACCTGATTATGATGGTTTAAATCAACTCAAAGTGGTAAGATTGTATGAATATGATGTCCTGTTTTTGTTTTCTATTTTATCGATTCCATGTCATTCTAAAGTATCATTAATATTTTTATGTTATAGGTAAGTATGATATTGTATGAGGTTCTTAGGCTGTACCCTCCTGCTCCTTTGGTGATGAGGGTTGTATCCAAAG